ATGTCGCGAGAGGGGGGGAGGGGGGGGGGGGTGTTAGAAACATGAAAACACGAACACAAGAACACGTAGACGAGAAAAGATTGTTGGATCAACCCTAAATTCCCGCATGTCAATAAGCTTTTCTGTCTTATAGCCCGAATTTTTTTTGTTTTTTTTTTTAAAACATTGCCCTTACTTTAGGATAACTTTATCCGTTGTAAGGACGTTTTACTAACATAAATTTCACGCGGACAAACACTCAGATGCGATACAACTATCTGTGGGTCACACAAATTTTGACATTTCATTTATAATGGTGTTCCGAGCATTCGTAAAAATCTTCAGATCTATGGATAATTTTTGTGACCCAGCTAATGTCTAACTTGACCGGACTCGGGTATTCTTGAAAGTCAACAATTTTTTTACTTCTATTATTAATCAATTACATTCGAAATTATCATTATTATATTTTTTAATAATTAATATGTATTTAGTTCAATTATAGCTATGGCCTTTTGACTGAAATAAATATGATGGCATTTAGTATCCATCATAATTAAATGAAATAAAACTTGACCATCTTTAAAACAATATAACGAAAGACGCTATTATTAATCGCTTACAACGTTACATTTTATTTTTATTTTATTTTTTAAAAGGCCTATCAACAACTGTTTACACTATATCTGAATAATAAAAAAGAAAAGAAACAATAAGTACTTGTATAAGTGTAACAATAACTTAAAGATAAGCACAGCAAGTACAGTTGAACATCATAACAATAGAAATAAAATTAAAACTATAAATAATGAAATTGTAAAAAAAAAAAAAAAAAAAAAAATGTGGCTTAAAATAAACAGTTGTAAAATGAGTTAAATTAAATTATGGCATGCTCGGTATGTTTATTACATAAGGTAAAAATATATATTCAAATTTTAAAGAGTGATGAGGTATACATTATTTTACAAACTTTGGCTATTGAGTCAACATGAAAATCTATTTGATCGCTAAAAAGATTAATTATTTTGCAGAATTTAATATAAGGGGAATTACTTCCCAGCACTGTTCTTCTTAGTGGTGGACAAAGTGGTGTAATAGGTTTGCGAGGGATTCTTATAGGTACTCGAAATTTAAGCAAATTCAATAGTTGTGGGCTATCAATTTTGTTATTTAAAAGTTTACTCACAAACTTAGCATCAAGCACTTCTCTTCTATGAGATAAAGGGTATACCTTGAAATAATTAAGTCTTTCTTCATAAGATCGTAGTTTTCTTGATTTGCCCTCAGAAAACGCTAAATGCCACATAAACCGTTTTTGAACTCTTTCTATACGTAATGAGTGCGTCGCGTAATGAGGCCGCCAGACTACACTACAGTATTCAAGGATACTTCGGACTAGGCTATTGTAAAGCAATAATTTAGTTTTGGAGTTGCGAAAGGAATGACAATTTCTTACGATAAATCCTAACATTTTTGATGCTTTTTTTGTTATATTTTCTAAATGTGCATTAAACGTTAATTTACTATCATAAATTACTCCGATTTTCCACCGGCTAACCAATTTTTTACCTATCCTGGGGATAACCGACAGACATAGCAAATGCAGCCATAAATATGTGTTATCTACTTTCATCGACACACTACGCGCACGCCTTCATCGAAAAGGGCTTCTATCCCTTAAAGTATTTCGGCAGACTTGCAACTCGACGACAGCACGACCCAAAAGGTCGGGTCACGCTCGCTTTGCGCCAACTGACACGGTACTAACCCCAACTCATATTTGGCACGAGTCGTGCCTTATTCCCCGCTTGCCGCAACCGCTGGCGTCTGCGCGAAAGGCGAGGCAATAAGGAGACTGTTACTGAGGTTTATTTAGTAATATATTTTTATTAGGATATTGTTAAACATATTAAAGTGAAGTAACAGTCCATATCGGATCGTGCTTCGTGGCAGTCTGTGGGGGAGGCCTATATTCAGCAGTGCACTCAAACAGGCTGAAATGATAATGATGAACAGTCCATATAGGTCTGTCCTATATGTATATTCCCGATTATTTCAGTATGCCCCTTGTATTTAGAAGATAATATGTGAAGTCTCCACAGTGGGGTTGCGTGGTGTATAACGCCCCATTACATTTTATTTCAGGGAAGGTCTTTGCCCAGCTGTAGGTAATACCTATATGGATTGTTCATCAACATCATCATCATTACAGACTGTTTGAGTCAACTGCTAAACATAGGCCTCGCCCACAGACTGCCACGAAGCGCGATCCGATATGGACTGTTACTTCACTTTACAATCACAATATGTTATATGATACCACGTGCCGTTTTATAGCAGAATAATCCATCAGTCCATCTTGCAGTAGGCTCGCAGGCTCCAACCCTGTAGTCCCGGGCTCATAGAATAGGGCTAAGGTATCCCCTGCCTGTCGTAAAAGGGGACACGGATGGGCAGCAACACGAAGTGGTCTCGTGCTGCTGCAAGAGGATGAGGGAATCGGAGAAGGTTTATCCTTCTCCGAGACGTGCTCAAGCGTAGTACTGAGGGACACCGGTGCGTTCCATAGGAGATCCCGAAGTCCCTCCAAATGTACGGAAGGCGGCCACCGAGGGGGTTTTAGTGGGTAAGAACCCCACATATCTTTCGAAGATTTCCCCCCGAATACAAATAAAAAACGGCTCGCGGGCTCACTGTATGTTCATAGCGTAACGCCGCGGCCCACGAGCGGCGTAACAAAACGACGTCCTATAAGGACACGACGTTATCTATCAAAGCGCATAAAGGAATTGTAAAATAGCGGCCGCACGTTCGGTCTCCAGTCGTGACCACGCTCGCACCAGCGAGAGTGCGGCACTATTTACTATATACCTATATGCATGTGTACCTCATGAGCAGGCACAAGATTGTCAGCACTTCAAAAGGAAAGTTAGGGGGATTTACGTAGCCCTATTTGCGGTAGCGAAAGTAACACGCAACTCTGAAAATTTCCCAAATTGTAGGGTGTAATGTGGTATGTAAGAATCTATGTAACCACCGAAGCATTACATTTAAAGTTGGTGTCAAATATAATATTCAACCATCAACAAGGCGAGAATCCCGAAGACGAGAGCTCGGTTCCCGCAGGGACGAAATACTTTTCGTATATTGTTTTTATACAGATTTTAATTAAATTTGTAGAGAACAGTACTTACAATATAATGAATTGTCTCAATACTGCGAATTTGCATTTACTGTAGTTACGTCCCTCAAGATTGGTCGCAGTCGAACACCGGTCAGTGAACCATAAAATATGTACATGACGCAAACAAAATCTACTCCGCGCTACACCAAAGACTGTAGCTAAGAAATAACACCAATATACACACATAAAGATTTGGTAAGTACGGGCTTAATAGCATAATAGCATAGATCATAAAAAATCATAAAAACGTTTATAAGTAATCATAAGAGCGAATTTTTGTAGAATATCACTCTACTTACATAATTCTTATGGAAACCGAGAACTAAAATAAATGCTACGTCAGCTTTAAATTCTTTATTAAATTTTACTTACCCCTTAGTACAATATATAAATTATATCTTAATATTAATTATGACCTCTTTGATATTTCCATCCGATTTTTCAGAACTTGAAGCATCGAGTTAAATAGCATGCTACAGTACTCAAGAAAAATTATGGATCATAATATTGTTCTTTTTATGCCAACCCTTTCACTGCAGCCATTACATAGATAAAATGAAAAATAAAGTAAGCAAAACTCCTTTCGCCGCTTTAAAGTTTTTTTCGAAAGCCGTGCTCCACCAAAACCGCTGTCAATCACAAGCGACCTGATTGCAGTGCGAGTAATATCGCGTGATCGAAATAGTTAACTTCAATGCTGTCCATCGTAATTGCAAATAATGACTACTCGATGTCAGAGAAGAGACATTGGTAATAATGTAAATATCGTACTGGATGAGTTGTATTGTATTTTGTGTCGAAGGGATTGGATATTGAGTCCCAACGATCGCTTCGACCTAGAAAGATCTATTTATTGTAGTACTACCTTCGTAAACATTGACCCCGTACTGTAGAATAATACTATCTTGTGTTGTAAGGACGTTCTACATAAGTAAATTTCACGTGGACCAACACATAAATCCGAAACAATTGTCTGTTGGTCACACAAATAGTTATTTCGTGTGAAAATCAAACCCACGACCCCGGGTGCGGAAGCCCGGCCGCCGAAGCCCGGGCAAATGCACCACAGAGTCATCTACTGGATGAGTTACTTAGAAATATTTTCTTATTCTTTACTTACAATAAGTATTTCACAGTAGATAACATAAAGCGTAGCCTGCGGTGTACCTGATCGTAAATGTTTTTCACAACTCAATGATATACGCAACGGTATTTTTATTGTCTTATTAACTTTATTTAAAATTTTCCATTTCAAAATGTCTCCGTGTTCGACGTGAAAACAAATGTTTTCTACATCAAACGCCCTGAAACTAAGACCATTATTAAATAAAACGACTGTAGGATTAATTTTTATTTTTCGTGCTAGTCTGCACCGAAGAGGGAGTAGTCTAGAGCTGTTGACAAATCTCAGTCGTTTCACAGCACTCTCAGCGTCCATCATCAGTTGCAATTCTTCGTTAATAGTCTACTTGGTCGACATAATAACTTTTTCAGCTTGATGCTATTATTTTTAAGAAAATTTTAAATGTTGTTTTATCTATTATTTTTAATTTAGCTTTAATTTCTTTTGTTCTTCATTTTTTATTTTGTTTGAAAAGTTATTTTTTGTTATTTCATTGTACAATTATTTATTGTTGAGAGTGTTTTTTGTGCATGTTGTGTTCGCTCATAGAAGAACATTCACTTGTGTGTTAAGTTCCGTATCAACTTTATCTGTGTCCATTATTCTGTAATGCGAGTGTAATGTTCAGTTTGCGATCCTAATTAAATAAAAAAAAATTATAAAGACATCACTTACCTTACTCTAAGGCGATTTTAATTGTGAATTTCCTTGCAGAAAAGAAAAATGGTCGGAGACTCGACATCTACGCAGGTTCTCAGGGACTTGGAGATATCTTTACGGACCAATCACATAGAGTGAGTATTAATCAGACATCAGTCATTATATCTTAAAATTGGCTTACAAACATAGCAAACTTCGAATACCTTTTTCGGTTTAAGTAAGTGAGAGCTAGTTACGGCGAGGGTCACTCCGAATGGTCAATAGTTAAATTCTCCTTGGCGTCTTGAATACTACCGGGATAACACAAAGTTTCACTTCCTACCGTTAAAAGACAATTGTGAAAGTAGCCTTTGTGATTTATTTTGTAGACAATGGGGATCACGATGCGATTACACTTTAATCCCCAAGGAGAAAACGATTGCAAGTTTCAATCGATATACACACAATAGACGAACCTTTTCTATGCGGTCGAAATTATATTTAATTTTATTGTTTGGAATGATACTTAAAATATAACAAAAAGTTATTACACTTGGGAAACCAAACGATATCAAATCTTAAGACAAGAACATAATCTATTTTCTATATGTCTACTGGAAATCAGTAACTTATCAGTTGTTAATTTTCTAAAAGACATAGTTTTCACACGTGACATAACGGCATTTTCACTGTAAATCAGCCACGAATAGATAATCCGAAATAAGAAATCATTGGCACATGGGCATGGACAGACTGATGTTCCGAACTAAATGTTCGGAACATCAGTTTGCAAGTTTATTGCATTAAACTTTGTATTTCTTCCAAAAACAAAGATAAACTGAGTTACTTTAGAAGTCTCTGTCGAAAGACTATCGGTCGCAAAAATGTCAAATCAAGCCGCCCTTGAACAGACGGAATACCCGTTTCGTTGGTTGCATGTCCGTCAATAGACAGTGGAAACGCAAAAGTATTAATTCTTCTGATTAACGCTGAATATTCCCCGTAGTTATTTAGTCCAGCAAGACAATTTATGCAGGCCTCTACCGCAGTAGCTCTAAGATACATTACGAAATTCATTGGCAGATGGGTGCGAGAGTTCCTGAACGAACAGAACCAGGGCTTGGACGTGCTCATCGACTACCTGAGCTTCAGGCTAAGCATGATGCGCCACGAACAGCGAATAGCGCTAGCACGCAGCCAATCGAGCGATGGGATCAACCAAGGTGAACATAATGTCCGTCCGTCAGTCTCAAAGCCCTCAAAAACTAGAAGCTAAATAAACAACTTAATGTTTCACTGTATGCATTTTCGCTAGGCTCACTATCTTCTTCAATGATTATATTAAACTGAAAAAAAGTAGAGATTTAAGGGGTTAACAGTAGATATGCTGTCCCCTATCGTATTCACTGCACTTCAACCAGCCTATTGCAGTCCACAGGACTGGTGCAGGACGCACGCCTCTCCTATCGCACGCCACAGCGCATGATCTTTCCTCATCCAGCTACTACTGGCGACCTTTCTCAGGCCATCGGTCCGCCTGACGTGGTCTCCATTCGAGTACCCGTCTACTCCAACGCTCATCGATTCTGCTGTGCGCAGCTCAAATACATTATCATTCTTACAAGCTGTATACACACTTACAATAATAGATCGACCACCTTTGCCGAGTTGTGTTGCATTAATCGCGTTGTCCACCGCCGACGCCAGCGAACACAACGACGTCGGACTGCAGCGGGCCGACGGAGGGCGGGGGCACTTTGGGCGCCACGTGGCGGAGGCGAGCGCGCTCCGCCGACGGGGAGGCCGAGGGCGGGGCCAGTCCGGCGGTGGCCAGGAGGCGCACTAGGCACGCGGCGCGGCTCAACATGGGCGCCTCCACGGACGACATACACGTGTGCATCATGTGCATGCGCGCCATCATGAACAACAAGGTGGGGGCGCCCGAGTGCAAGTTGCGGCGACACGCGCCGAAACGCTTACCGCTAAACGGTTCACCGTTGAACCGAACAGCCTTCTTAGCAATTTTCACTTTAAGTGTACATTAACAACAAGGTGGGGACGCGTGAGTGCATGCATGCGCCGTCACACTTACCGTTAGGTTCATCGTTCAATCGAACAGCCTTCTTAGCAATTTTCCCTTTAAGTGTACACGAACAACAAGGTGGGGGTGCGCGAGTGCACGCATTCGCGTGACATGCACTGAAACACCGTTCGGTTCACCGTTGAACAGAATAGCCTTTTTGGCAATTTTCACTTTGAGTGTACATTAACAATAAGGCGGGGGCGCGCGAGTGCATGCGCTTGACATGCCCCAGTGCACTGAAGCCGCTCGGTTCACCGTTCAACCGAACAGCCTTCTTAGCAGTTTTCATTTTAAATGTACCAATTGTTAGTAGACATTAAAATATAGCGCGACAGGCAGTCAGTTCACGACTGGTCATCAAGAAAACTACACGTTCTCAAATCGTATTCTATCATTGTATATCTATTTCATAATCAAGTGTTCTTATAAATTATATTACCATTTATATCTTAACAGCATCATACACTGTGTTAGGAACTAGCACCAACAGAGACCCACGAGCTACAGTAAAGTTATCGTTTTTGATTTAAAGAAAACAAACTTAACATGTCACAGCCTTTGCAAAAGACACTTTGGTTGTCATCTAAGTGTCAAGTAAGTTCTTATAGACAAGCGGTTCTCTGGCAATGGGCAACTAGATGGACACTCGCCAATCCTGGCGCCAAAAGGAGACCTTTCCAAAGAGAAGTTGTGATTAGTATCATTTCGTACTATTCGAATATTGGCTGACCCACAACGTAAAAACAGATACTAAGTATTTGTTTTTAGGGAAAAGGTGGCAAACAAGCAGGCAGGCCATTTGATGGTAAGTGTTCACGGCCGCACACGGACACTCGCATCAGAAGAGTCACAAATGAGTTGCCGGCCATTGAGGAAATAGGCTCTCTTCTTGAAGGTCCCTAAATCGTATCAGTCCGGAAATACCGCTGGAGACAAAATTATCAACAACAATGATGGCCATACATAACTACACTAAGCGCTGGTCTCTACCACAGTACGGTTTCAACATGGTCATCCAACATCGGGAGGCGATCAACAGCATCGCCCTGTCGCTCGTGCACCAGTCGCTCCGCACCAAAGCGCTGGTGCTGGAGCTGCTGGCGGCTATCTGCCTGGTGAAGGGCGGCCACCAGATCATACTCGGCGCTTTCGACAACTTCAAGGAGGTGGTCGGCGAGCCGAGGCGGTTCCACACGCTCATGGAGTACTTTATGAACTACGACTCGTTCCACATAGAGTTCATGGTGAGCACTTCTATAGAGTAATAGATAACTAGGTTCTCGGTAAAATCTACATCGTTAAAGACGATACTTTTGCTCGAGTTGATCTTGAAACATGAATTGTTAAGATCGCAATAGGTATTAATGATTAAGGAAACTAAGACTAGGCTCATCTATGCTTTATTCATATCTATTTATTTATTTTCGTTAATCGTGCCAATAACAATGTTGTTTATAGTTTCTTATTTTCTTGGCATATTTTTTGAGAGCACTATATGACTATGTATTTGGTTAACGGATACAATGGAAAACCGAGGAATATTTGGATAGACTGTGTGAAAAATGATATATCTGTGAAAGGGGTCAGTATTGAGATGACGGCTGATAGAGGGTAGTGGAAGAGAGAGACATGTTCTTCACGACTCCACCTAGTGCGGTAAGAGAAGGTAGATGTTTGCGCGTAGCAACTTGTAGTGTATTTGTTTCTGAACGTGATAGGGCCACGCAACAGTCTTCTCTGTTGCACGAATGGGCAGGTCCGTCCAGGGAAGTACCACGGCCTCACAGAAGACAGCCGTGAAGTGGAAGTTCTATCTAACCCCCCCCCCCCCCGCCCCACACTAACTTAACGTTATCTCCGTGTGTGCGTTCAGGTGGCGTGCATGCAATTCGTGAACATAATCGTCCACTCCGTCGAGGACATGAACTTCCGAGTCCACCTCCAGTACGAGTTCACGGCGCTGAAGCTCGACGACTACCTGGAGAGGCTGCGGTTCTGCGAGAGTGAAGACTTGCAGGTTTTATACTTCACATATTATTATCGATGGGGATAATGTTTCGGTCAATTTTCTAATTCCTATTCCCAGTGCTGCACACACGTACTCTTCGTTTAGCGGAAATAGGTATTAAATGCAATCGATAGCTAACTAGCGAATTATAGATTAAAATTCACAAAGTTGTTATTGGCCTCCATGGTAATGCCGTGAGGTTGGTCGAGGTTTGTCGCTTAGCAATTTCATCTCTATTCTCTTTATTTCTTCCAAACGCGCCGGGTGAAGTATAACTTCAAAAAAAAAAAATTTAATTGAAAAAGGGACAAACGAGAAGTGATCACCGCCGCCCCAAATGTTCATTGCAACACCGAATTGCCTACGAATAATGCGTCGCCGGCCTTTTAGGAAAGAATACGCTCTCTACTTGAAGGTTCCCAGATCGTGACGATCCGGAAAGACCGCCGGCGGCAGCTGTTAATAAAGGAAAGAAGGAAGAAAGGAAGGTTTTACCGGTGGTAGGGCCGCGCAACAGTGTTCGCTCTTGCACGAATGGGCAGGTCCGTCCGGGCTAGTACCACGACCTCACAGAAGAGCGTAGAAGTGTTGCGTTTCATCTGGTGAGTAAGGTAGCCGGGGCCCACATTATTAAGACGTGGCAACGCATCTGCAACCGTACGGCTGTTGCAAATGTCCATGGGCAGGCGTTTATCACTTAACATCAGGTGAACCGCAAGCTCGTTTGCCACTATCACATAAAAAAAAGCCCTCGCCCTTGGCCGTTGCAGGTGCAGATATCCGCGTACCTGGACAACGTGTTCGACGTGGCCGCTCTGATGGAGGACAGCGAGACCAAGACCGCCGCCCTGGAGAAGGTCAACGAGCTGGAGGACGAACTGGGCCACGTACGTCCACGAGCTGTCATATTGATGTGAAACTTCTAATACTACTTCCAACCAGGTTGCGTTAAACGTTTAACGCTACCGTGGACGAGGTATCAAAGCAATGTTGCGTTAAACGTTCAACGCTCCGTTATACCACCCTCCTTTGGTTACAGGCCCACGAGCGACTGGCGGCGCTGGAGAGGGACGCCATCGCGAAGCTGGCCACCCTGGAGGCGGAGCTGGCCCAGGTGCGCCAGGAGAGGGACCAGCTCGCCGAGGCCAGGAGGCAGGTGGTCGAGGAGGTCGGTTGAAAAAGTGAAGTAACGTAACATCGTGTATATGCCCCACTGCTGGGCAAGAGCCTGTTCTCTGCAGAGCGTAATGGGCATAGCCTATCACGCGACCCCACTGCGGATAGGCGGACTTCACGTATCTTCGAAATATTATTTTTGTATGTTTCCTCATGATGAAGGCTCGGCACTTAATAAAAAATTATGCATGTCTCCTCACGATTTTTCCTTCGCCGCTGAGCACGTGATAAGTCGGCGCTTAAAATTAACGATTCATCGATCACGATCAGGTGCCGGCACACGGGAATTGAACTCGGGTCATGCGAGTATATTTATTTATTTTCAGAAGCGAGATTTATAGTGGCAACACATATTTATAAGGGTTCTCTTTTCATATTCAAGGTCTCCACGCTAAGGCGGGCACAGCAGGACTCGCGAAACCGGCAGTCCATGTTGGAGTCCAAGGTCCAAGAGTTGGAGACACTCACCAAGTCCTTGCCGAGGGGCGCATCCAGTAAGCGATTGTTACTCGTCCGTTTTTATATGTACCCTGGTTGTCGATGTGTCCGTTCCTCAGAAGGGCTAGGCAACGTTTTCTGATTTTCCATTAATGGATAGGCCCGACCGGGGAAGAAACACGGCTGGATATAACACCTCAAGTGGATTTCGCTTATCGACAGGGAAGTCCACTTTAATAAAGCATGCTCTGGTGTTGTATGGACATCCATAGTTGCGGAAACACCTGTAATAAAGCGAACCCGTATGTCGTGGAACCTTCTAATAAAAAAATGTGTGCGTGTACTAGCGTACACTCGTAAGAAGTGAAACTTTGTAATGACGTTATTTTTCAAAAAATAATTTACTATATGCAACTTTACAGAAATTGGTTAAATAAAGTTAAATTAGATAAAGTTTAATAAAAGGCTTTTATTATCATAGACATAAATACAAATTCTACAATTATTTCATTTTAGCTTTGTATAATATTTAGTTTCTTATTTGTAATACATAGGTGGCGTTAGTAGTAAATTAAAACACACTATGGTTTGACCGTTGTAATTAGTATGAGGGTCCGCAAAAATTGTTGATTAAAAAACTTGCAACGTGAACCTTGTTTATTACAATGAACCTCACGGACCCAAAATATAACCGCTTTGAATTTGTACATGGTCCTTCGTTGCCGAATAGAGTAGAAGGCAGACATTCGACTCGCGCGCGAGTGTTGTGAGTGAAGTTTTTTTGGAAAACCGAACTTGCGGACGTTGGATCGACGTCGCAACCACAAGTTCCAGGAGCCGATCGAGGCTTCGAAGAGCATCATCGGTCAGCTTCAGATTGTGTCTTCGGTGGGAAGGCGCAGTCAGGTCACGGTGGGCGGTGCCTGCCTTTGGAGAAGAGGAAGTCTCTACAGTGTCGTGCTCTGAAGTATTAGAGCTAGCACTGTCATTACTACAAATATTATTATTGAATTTCATTAATTGTAATAGAATTATTACTATCATTGATGTCGTTATTATATATTTGTGTTATTAATGGCTTATGGTAACTGAAATACGAAATATATTGTTTACATTTTAGAATTAGAATTAAAATAAACCCTTTGATTTTGCTGATCACTTTAATATAACATATATATATATTGTTATGAACACACAAAGGAACTAACGCCATCTAGCGTCAACTATTAAAACCGATAAGAAAAAGATGGCGCGTAACGCAAAAATGTTACACTAAATTTTTTTTCCAACCCCGATAAAGAAGTTTCACTTCAAAAATCTGAATATATTTTCCAACCGAATGACTTGACTACTTTGATTCATGATTCACAAAACAGCGCCATCTACTATAAATAATGAATAAGTGTGTAATACAATACTATGGTCATTACATGGTTTCCATGGAACTTTTATGATCTTCTGCACCCGGCGCCTTCATAATATCCCGTTCGACTCCAGTTATCAAAATCTACGTATATGATGATCATGAATACCCCACATAAAAGACAACGCACGCCGTACTCCGACCGAGCCACCGATGCGAACGCGTAATGAAGTTATACTTGAACCGTGCTCGATCGCAAACCAACAGTGGGCGCGATATCCACCCACGCGCTGTGCAACGGCACCGCGAACGGCCACTCGCCCTCGCCCCCGCCGCCGCTGGCGAACGGAGACCTGCGCCCCCGCGCGCCGCACACGCCCCCCGCCCCCTCCGCCGCCGCGCCGCCCCCCGCGCCGGCGCCCCCTCCCCCGCCACCGGCGCCCCCCGCCCCGCCCGCGCTGCCGCCCCCCCTCAAATACAAGCTGCCGACGCTCAATTGGATAGCGCTGAAGCCCAATCAGGTCAGTAATTGTTTGGTGTATTCATTTGCGATTGTAGTTTTGTAGATGCTAAAGTGAGTTTGTGTTGGTTTGCGCTACCTCCGGTAACTAAGCATCGACATAATTTTTTTATATTGTTTACGGTACTCTTTATCACATGAATGCTGTTAAATCTGATTGTAATTCTTGGGCCACTCAACCTACGCTCACTAATGATCTAAAAAGTTTCAACGTTTCATCCGCAAAGTAAGCCTATTCTTCATCTTTACATTTTCTAATTCTAATACGTTGTATCCAAGTAACCTGAGTACAGTGTCAACGCCATACAAATAAGATGAAACATTCCAAATGACGAATAGGGAGTGTGCACTGGAGAGTGTGCATGGGTTGGTACGACATTATTACTTCAATGATCCCGTGCGCGCGTTCAGGTGCGAGGCACGATCTTCAACGAGCTGGACGAGGAGCGGCCGCGGCGGCGGATCAACTTCGCAGAGTTCGAGCAGCGCTTCCGGCTGGGCGGCGCCTCGGGCGCGCCGCACGCGCTCTGCGACGCCGACACGCTCGCCTCCTTCCCCAGCAAGCGCTTCCGCAAGCCCGACACCGTGTCGCTGCTGGAGCACACCCGCCTCAGGAACATAGGTCGCTAGGGCTGATAACTCGGTTTGATTGCGCGCTTTGTTGCTGCAGGGTTGTCCACAGCTCGTTGATTCTTCTATATCTTTGCATGCCCTATTGGGTACTATTGTATTCGTATGGGCTTCTTTTCTACCTTGTTTCTAATTTGTTTCTAAGTTACGTTTATAAATTATAACTAATACGTTTGCTAGTTAACTTATTTTTCATAAAACAACCATTTAGTCAGAGACATAGGTATTTACATTCTTAACTTTTGATGTATACCGTTTCTTAAAAATCGCACAAATCCCATTGGAACATTTAGATATAATTTTGTTCCCCATAATAATTGACATGAATAGGATTAGATCAAACGTATTCTTTGGTAAAGTAACGGAGCATTGGTCGCACCAAAAGGCACGACTCCATCAAATTAAGCAGTAAACAAAATATACACAGTACGATTACAGAATAGAAATGGTAACAATCGTTATTGCTACTTCCACAGCGATATCCAGGAGAAAACTCGACACGCCGGTGGAAAAAGTCATCGCGGCCATAAACAGCCTTGATCTGAAACAGCTGCCTCTGGAAAGCGTTGAGATCCTCCAGAGAATGGTGCCCACCGAAGCCGAGCAGAAGGCCTACAAGGAATACGTATCGGAGAAGAAGAACGTGAACCAACTAACGGAAGAGGACAAATTCCTGATGCAGCTGACCAAAGTGGAGAGGATATCGGCCAAGCTCTCCATAATGAGCTACATGGGCAACTTCTTCGACAACATCCACTTGATAACGCCCCAAATCCACGCGATAATCTCGGGCTCGTCGTCGGTCAAGTCCTCGCACAAGCTGCGGAACGTCCTGGAGATCATCCTCGCTTTCGGGAACTACCTGAACAGCAGCAAGCGCGGCCCCGCTTACGGATTCAAACTGCAGTCCTTGGACACACTGATGGACACAAAGTCGACGGACAAGCGGGTCTCCCTTCTGCACTACATCGTCGCTACGATCCGCCAGAACTTCCCCGAGCTGCTGAATTTCGACTCCGAGCTCTTGTACATCGATAAAGCCGCCCAAGGTAAAATAAAACAAGCGAAACTCGAGTAATTTTCAGATTGCTACTGTTGTACGAATGGGCGGGCTCGTGAAGTACCGCGGCCCATAGCAGACCGGCGTAGAGTGAAAGTGTCCCACTTTATTAAATGGTGGCAACGCATCTGCTGGGTGTTGCAAATATCGATGGGCGGCGGCTACCACTCAACATCAGGTGAACCGCCAGCTCGCTTGCCACCTTCTCAAATAGCGAAGTCATACACCAGCCGAAACGCATAAGTATGACTTCTTCCCACTTTTTAACGGATGGCAGGGCGCTTGCAACCCACGGCCGTAAATCACTCGAAATCACCTGTAGCGGCTGTATAAAAAACCCACAAACATCCAAATCGACAACCTCCTCCTTTTCGAAGTCGGTCAAAAGAGCAAAAGAGTACGATGCTTTAACATTCCCGCGGCATCGGCAGTGTCGCTGGAGAACGTGAGCGCGGACGTGTGCGAGACTGGAGCGCGGCATGGAGGCGGCGCGGCGCGAGAGCGAGTCGCGCTCGCACGCGCACGCGCACGTGCTGCGCGACTTCATCGCCAACGCGAGCGACAAGCTGCGTCGGCTGCGCGCCGAGACCAAGCACGCGCAGGTACGCGCAACCGGGGGTGTTGAGTACGATGCATGCGTACCGGAAGTGTGTCGCACGCGTATCGGAAGTGTGTCGCACGCGTACCGGAAGTGTGTCGCACGCGTACCGGAAGTGTGTCGCACGCGTACCGGAAGTGTGACGCGCGCGCACCGGAAGTGTGTCGCACGCGTACCGGAAGTGTGTCGCGCGCGCACCGAAGCGCCTCGAACGCGTACCGGATGCTTGACGAACACGAAGCAGATGTGTGTCCATCTAAACATAGTATACTATTCCCACAGTTTCAATTAGATGAGCTAAATATAGGCTGTGTTCGCCTTAACAGTTAACATACTAAAATAAATTTACAGACATATCCTTTGAACAACACAATTACAATTATATATTGTGCACTAAGTACATATAACCATTTTTTATGATTTGTTTTCGTCACACAACAACTTTTGCTGTTGCACAAATGGGCAGTCTCATACAGTACGTTACCTTACCCGTACGTTAAGTATCACGCATGAGATTACCCGTAGCAAGTGTCAGAAATGCGTAACAAAAGTATCATTAACGGGTACCGGAAATGTGTCCCGCGTCCACTGAAGTATGATGAACGCGTACCGGCAGTGCGTCGCACCCGTACCGGCAGTACGGAGGCCGCGTACACCGCTATAGCCGCGAGTGTGTCGATAATTCTTTTCGCGCAGGACTCGTTCGCCTCGTGCGTGGAGTACTTCGGCGAGGCGCCGCGCAGCTGCGACGCCAACGCCTTCTTCTCGCTGCTTGTGCGCTTCACGAGAGCGTTTAAGGTGAGACAGGGCTTAATATGTAATACACCTCATTTTCATCACTTTTTTTTTATAAATTATTTGTAAAGTAAAATAACAGCCTGCATATTTCGTTTTTTTTTTCTTGGAGATAAAAGGGAAAGATTTTTTTTAGTTAAGTTCCTGTTCTCTATTTCAAGTTTGTTTTGTAAGTGTTGTGTTTAACTGTAATTTAAATATTTACATATGTTGTTTAAGACTTTAGTATTAAGTTAAACATATTTAAATTTCTATGTTCTGTATGTATTTAGTTGGTAGGCCTTAATAAATAAATACATAAATAAATATGCTGCTGGGCATAGTGCTGGGCAAAGGCCTCCTTAGGGCGTAGCCCACCAGGTTGTTGTGTAGGTTTCCTAACAATTATCTCCTCTCATCCATTAACAATTACGTTGATGCCTGCACCGGTATTTGAAATGAGGTTGCTCGAGTATATTGAATCGAGTTGGGCTTGGACTGACCTATCACGAGTCTTTATTAAATTATACAGATCGTAGCAATTGTTATAATAGTAAAGTAGAATAGATGGATATGGTACGCGATTTTGTGTACTCTATTATTACGTATAAATATTTTTAGCAAGCGGACGCGGAAAACGAGCAACGCCGCCGGCTGGAGCAAGCTGCGCAGCAGGCCGACAGCGTGGACCCCAACAAGGCGAAGGTCGTGCAGAAGAAGCAACAGGTGCGTTGCATTTTCATCTCTAAGTCATACAATAAGGTGCATAGTCGTATACATCATACCAAGATAGTTAATCGAATCCGTCCATAGTTCAATGTCGGCAACATTGCTATCATCCCAATATCGCTCTTACTGCTACGGTTTAAAGCAGAAATTGTAATGTAACAAACGTATTTAATGAAACAAATGCATGTGTCACATTAAAATCGCTCTTATTGTTAAAGTATAAAGTATAAATCAGGCCTATTTGTAAATGTCACGTCAAAAAGTTTAATTTTTTCTCCTTGAATATATAAATTTCGATGAACCGAATCATGCATTTTTTGTCAATCATTGTGTATATATATACATCACGAGTTGATATTTTGATTCGCTTTACAAGCTCTTTGTATCGCTTCGATGGTGAATGGAGCCGTGCAGCATTTGTTTTGGTAGTTTTAGGTTGTGCATAATTCATTAATATGACCGTGATTATATCAATTGATTATTATTTTATGAAATCGACGATATTTCCTTTGCATTACCGATTTACAGAACTTTTGTGAATTAGTTAATAGAGGAGATATTGTCGATTCGAGACCGTACTAATGTTTGAGTTTTTCGAAAATATGAATATTTCCTTACATATATACTTTTTTTTATTATATTTTTATAATAACTTGAAGTATGATCCGTCTGCGCTATTCGTGGTCGAGAAATTTAAAGTTTTTGAATATTGTTTTATATCGTTTGATTCGAGTGAAAATAATTTAACACTATTCTATCCGGTCTGAAAGGACCAAAATTAATGTGACATCAAGATGCAGACTCAAAACATATAAAATCTATGTAAAACAATGTAAAAAGTATTTTTAAATTCTGATGAAGGTAGGCAGTCCATTTCCCATTGAGTTTTGGACATTATCAAAACTGAACATTACGTAAGGAGTATTTTATATTAGACATTTTCTTAAATTTGAACATTAACGCTGAAAAGGGTTCGAAACGTCTGGATTTAAATTTAAAAATAAACGAGATAAATCCGTAAAAATAGTTTTAGAATGTGTAATCGTGTAAATACAAGAAATTGTCATAGAAATTCTTGTTTTTTTTTTTTCTTTCAAAGTATCATACTTCAAGGTATATTGCATTGTGTATGATCAATATTTTCAAAGGCGCTAGGCTTACACAAACGCTCGCATTTGGTATTTTTTTCCAATTTTACTCACACTGACGCTGGGTGTCGTGTGTGTGATTTTTGGCTTTGTAGCTATCGCTGTTGAATATCATCGAAGGTTTAGAATAGTAGACGCTTTCTACTTTATTAATCATTATATTTGTTTTCGAAATTATAATACTACTTCGCGTACAATATTTGTTTTAATATCAAACTCGGTTATATTATTTATATGGCGATTTTTCTCTTTTTTTTTTGTATTTTGCGAGGTCTAAAAAAGAAAAATCACTACTTACTTTTATTTCAACAACTTTACAGATCACTTTTGTGTATCGCTACTCATTAGTTGGTAATTAGATTGGTAATGGGTAACTAAGGTAGTTCCTCAAACTTTATTGACTTTACGCTATGTGTAGTTTGTTCTGGAAGACATTCAGTTGAATGCTTGAACTCGGTCCATCAGACTATCTATAAAGGAGTTCGAATCTGATAAAACCTTTTCACTAGAGCACCTCAAAAATGATATTTCAATTAAACCAAACATTTCCCAAACAGGCATTAGGCCCTATTTTAGTATTGTATTTATAATTATTAAACCTTTTGTCTATAAGCTCGGTTATTAAATGTGAATTCTCTAGAATCCATATAAACACTAACTCAACATACGGTACCTCGATCAAAATCCAATACAACATTGTGTAAGACTAGTAACAAAAGTCTGGAACCTCTCTTTCTTACTCCTGCCCTTGTCCCAACTAGTTTGGATTAGTACATCATGTGAATCATGTTGTTAATAGCTAGGTTTTTTACGATTGGAATAAACATCTAGGAAAATTATCTGTGGGTCACACAAATACTTGTCCCGTGTGGGAATCGAACTCGCGACCCTCAGTGCCGAAGCCACACCTCACAAGAATTTTCTCATTATAATGCATGGTTCACTTTGAGCGAGCGACGACGTGGGTAAGGAGACGTTTTCCACACATGACGTAATCGCTTGTACAGGATGTTCCAAAAGTCGACGTCAAGCCGGAATCGGGCAAACGGTCAAGCCATAAGGGTTAACAGAGAAATATAAAATAAAATCTGGTATTTTTAAATTACAGCTCCAGTCCAGAAGGAAATGTAATTTTTTCCCCAAACAAGTTTTCAAAATTAAAAATTTGACCTGTTTTAAATGAGTGTACTAAAACAAGTAGTTCACGAGTGTGGCAAGTACCTTTAAAAGTTGGCGCATTCAATAAGTATTCCAAAATGGTATAACACCTGTAAGGTTATTTGTCAAATTAAAGAATTTTGTAGAATTACCCAGTTGTAAAATAATTTTCCTTACCTGTCTAAAATGATTTTAAGTACTCCAAGGCTTTCTTCAAGCCTACTTAAAATTCGAAAAGGCGGAAATCAGTTGACAAATTGAGAGCGAGACATATAGTGCCGCGAAAGTGTCAAAGATGAAGATATTTATGAAGTTTGAGACACACACACACACACACACACAAGTTCTTTGACATGTTCTAGCACGACTTCGTAAGAGTGCGAACTTCTCTTCCCTCACCATGTGCTTTGTTTTGAAGTCGACCCTAAGAGAATCGGTAAGCGGCTCATTTAAAAGTACTCGATCAGGATGACGAGCATTTGGGTACGTCTCTTCTGGGCCAGCCTGTATATCGCTTGATTCTTATATGTAGTATAAATGAGGAGCAAGCGATGACGTCATGCCATATAATCCCAATCTACCCCACCAGCCAGTTCACGAGTTACGAATTTACAGTAGTGATAATTATATGCACTATCATCTTTACCACATTTACTGCAATTCATTAATTTTTAAAACAAAATCTATACAGACTACCTACCGTACAGAGCCTACCAATTGCCATCTTGCTTGTCTATCTTGATGATATTCAACACGACAGATCGCCGCTTGTCCCTATTTTAACTATCCAAATATTATAAACCGAGTTTTGAACATATTCAAGGACCCACCATGACGAGGCGACCCTAGCCCATCCCACGCCGTCCGACGTTGATGTAAGCCTAGCCCGAATTATTTGTGTAGACAGAGAGTGCCAGTGTTGTTGTATCGTAAGAACGTCACATTGCAACATCGCCGTGTTACATTTTGACGGATGCATTGTCATTACTGCGTACGACCCTAACTCGGTGGTGGCGTCTAATGGTTTTCTTTTTTACCATAGTGGAAATGGCAGTATTTTTTTTTATTGTGCAAGTTTCACTACTTTCGAAATATTTAACTATTCATGATTTTCATTGAGCTTAAATGAAATATTCGAAAATTGATATAATGAACGACAATGTTGCCATGTCCACCGACGTAATAGCTGTAGTGATGGTGATGGTAACACCGGCGAAATTAATTCTCGCAGAGGTTTAACTACGCGGCAGTCAGCGCTGGCCTTTTGCAGCAACACTTGTCTCAGTTGAGGCACAGTCTAGACCCGGTCTAGAGGGGTCCCTAGCGTCTAGGACTAACGAGCCTAGGAGTAAGTCAACTGGGGCCGATAGCGAACGGGGCTGACACGTGTGTGCGTGTGTGTGTGTGTTTGGGTTGCGTGACTACTATACTAACACGACTGTGAAAGGGTATTAGATTTAATTGGTGTATAGACAATTAGCACATAATAAAATGTTTCCAGTTTTAATGTTTATTAGATTTTTATTGTATAATTTTTTTAAAGTTTTTAGACGATAACTAACGTTGAAAGCGCAATTCTCTAAACTAAACCCACGTTGATATGATCAAAGTTTACTTGACCAAATTTCTAACACGTCATCCTTGACACTAGAGTAAGAAAAGAAAACAATCCAAGGAGAAGGGAAGAAAAGAAAACAAATAAAAAATAATTTACCTAATTCTTTTTATCTTTCTTCAAACAATTAAGCCTGAAAGATGTCAGATGCAACGGATTGGCTGATTGATGCCGTTAGGCTCGTTCAATTCGTCGTTCAAAAAAACCACGTACAAGTACACTTTGATTGAATGACATCGCGCTTTGAATAACATTACCACGACCAAAGAAGCGTCAAAGTAGCCGTCAGACCTGTCTTGTCCAAGAAAACTTTGATCATGTCAACGCGGTACCATAGTGTGTAGATTTTAAAGGTTTTAGAGAGGGTTATGTATATTTATTAGATTTCTATTTCCCCATGATTGTGCTATAAATAGATATACACCAGTTAAACCTTAGTAGCTTCAAGAGGGATCATTCGTGTATTGCAATTATTTTCGATGCGCAAATTACGAGCTCTCTTGATGTTATTTCTCCGTGTGAGGGCGTAATTGGAATAGAGCGACGCCCGACTGTAGCATGCCCGGGACGAGTGAAGTCGGGGACAATGGCTTGTATAAAACACCACGCCTCTCCGCATGACACACGAACCTTGGACGATTATCATCCCGTTGCAAATGTACTACATGTGTCCACTAATTCCAATTGTTAACACTTGTGTGTAATGTCACCGATGACGTCAATATTAACCTACTTTGAAAGTGTCTCTAATGAAAGAATTATGCTTGTACTGATGTACTCAATCAAAAAGTTATACTTGTTTAGCGTAACATAAGAGAAATAACTAAAAAGTTTATCGCTTGTGAAGTGAAGAAGTTATTAAATGCAATTGACAACAGTTTAGTTAAGTTGAATTATAAGTAATGTAATGTTTTGTGGTTTATTGCTACGCGCCAAAACAATTATAACTTAAAAAATCACTTGGTATTGCTAAAAATATCTACACTTGTATATCGGTATTAGGAAGAGGTATAATTGGGCTTATTTCTTTATTTTAAGGAGTTTTCTAAGCTACATTATTGCCCTTACGGCCGCGATTTTCCTGTTGAATTGATTGAACTTCTAAAATAAACGAATATAATTTTTAGCTCCCAATTTTAAAATTAATACTTATTAGTACGCTTATAAAAGAGGAAAATTTTAGTATAGTTCACGGATGTAACTGCCAACTTGTTGACAGCCATTATATCATAGAATCTTAAAAATTGTGCATAAAGTATTTAATATTTTGTTATTCTAACACGGAAAAATGAAAAAAAGATGTAAGGTAAGTAGTCTATATCTCGATTTAAATTAAATTCATACGGAGGGTAAAAAACCTTGAAACCATCAAGATTTCAAAAAGTATTTTTTTTCTATCTGACAAACATTTAAGTTGTAGAAGTTTTCCCACACGTTTAAAATGAATCATAATGGTAGAAGTAAAGTAATTGGTTCAAACTTAAATAATTCAAATGAAAAAAAAACACTTAAGATAATCTTTATTCACCCAATAGGCTGTTTAAATATCTTAAGAACATAACTGTGATACTTCTTAAGTCTAATTAATATAAAACACTCTTAAAACAATTTATTTTGAACAGAGACATACAAAAAAGGAGTATTTAAATAAGCGGTTGTTTTTTTATGTGTATTGCCACTGAACTCTGTCGTTTATGAAACGATTTTAAAAATTCTTTTTGCTTTATTTCATTCTTTTTTTAGGTTCGATCTAGGTCCCATATTGATTTCATAGGTATTGGGTCTTAGGGTCCGGAATTCAAATAGAAAATGTATAGTGAATGTCATGTTCGAAGTCGGTTTGTCTTTGGTTAATAAACCGTTACTTGTTAATGCTAGTCACACACTTGAGATAGAACTAAAACTTTGTAGATAAATTGTCGAAAAACTTTTCATCGCTGCCGAGAGGGCAATCTGTGTCTTCTTTTAAAAACTCCACGAAAATATGGCTCGTACATATTTTGTAGTAAAAATGTTTACAGGTCCTGTCTTGCATTGGTTATATTAAAATATATTTTTACAAAATCTATAGTAGCCAAAGTATGAAGTATAATAAATAATTTATCGGAAAATCTTGGGTGCTTTGAATATTAAGATTATAAATTATATAAGGTTAAGTTTTGAATTAAGTGTTTAAGTTATGATATGTCTGTGTACATGCTAACTTCCCTTTTGCCGCTTAATGCATTGAATACTTAATAGATGTAACATTTTAATAACTTTAGCTTTTATTAACGCTTTTCGCCAAACTTTTGTATTTAACGCTTTCTGTATACGTTTTACAATCAAATCATATTCGTTTAATCCTACATTTAATATTGTATTAAATGGTACCAAGAAGCTTGAAGAAGGCAGAATTGTGTAACATGCTAACTTGCTATACAATAGTATAACTTTTGTACAATTCCAAAAAACAATAATTAAACGGCCGAATTGTGACATTTCGTAGTAATAATATTGTCTTTATAACAATCTTTATAACAATAATATTGTCTTTATATCTGTGTATACTTTAAATTACTACTAATCATGCCGCTTTTTAACAGGGATTGTGTGCCGGTAAATTTTTACTATTTGGTAGTTTTTGACCCTGCTTGAAAATATTCTAATTGAAAAAATAAGCTTATTTTAATATAAACTTATAAAAGTTATAGTTATACCAAACTATAACTTTTGCCACCCTCAAGTCAATTGCAACTATGGGTCAGAGATATAATTATTACAAAATTTTAAACGTAAAAGTTAATTTTGACTAGCGAGACAGATGTTGAGCAATTCCTATTTTTAACCGCTAAAAGCGAAAGTTTTACACATTTCTATAATAAAAAAGAGTTAAAAAACGAGGGCTAGATTTAATTTATGACTAACATACGTGTTTGATTTGTGAATCGCTTGCACACGCTTTTTGGTGTTATTAGCAATATACTTTCACTTGCACATGCTTGCATTATTTGTCAGTAGACTGCATTTTTAACATAATAGTAGTATGATAAAGCTATTGAAATTGATTGAAGCTATTAGTAAATGCATATTATATAATACTTTATTATTTAATATTTAGTAAATTGATATAATGCCAAATTTGATTTGATACAAAATAACATGACATAATTTTTTTTCTTTAATTTTAATTCCCCAACTTTCATTTTAAATTTCTAAACAATTTTAAGTGTCAGCATATAAGTAATCAACTCTCTTTACGAATAATATTTCCGAAATAATCCCCACAATGAAGTTAGATTTTTATCCACGCGAAAGCGTACCGTTCGCAACAGAGCGACCGTTGCCATTGAAATTGAGAAAATGAAAACGTTAAACCAGTAACCTAATCCGAGCGCGCGCCCCGCCAACGCAGGAGGCGGTCATCAACGAGCTGAAGAGCAAGTCGCAGACGGTCGGCGAGAAGAAGCTCCTGCACCAGGACGAGGTGTACAACGGCGCCCTGGAAGACATTCTGCACGGGCTGCGTAGCGAGCCGTACAGGAGGGCCGACGCCGTGCGCCGCTCGCACCGCCGCCGCATCAACTCGCACCGCCTCTCCAAGGGTTTGGAGGAGCTGGACGTATGATGCGAGGCGCCCGCGGGCCGCGCCCCCGAGGGGGCGGGGCCCGCGCGCCGCCCCCGCCCCTCCGCCCACCGCGTCGCCCCCTCCGACCCCGAGGTGGACTCGCGCTGCGACCTCCTCAAGACCACGTACGACGCGATCACCAGGTACACGCGGGCCGTGTTCGAGGTGCAGGGCGAGGCGGTCGTGTGAGCGGCTCCTCCGGCTGCGTGACCATCGGTTGCTACGCCTGCGTCGGTCGGTAACCATGTTAGCGTCGGTTGGTAACGTGTTAGCGTCGGTCGGTATCGATGTTAGCGTCGGTCGGTAACGATGTTGGCAAAGTTCGGTTGGGTTGTTTGCGCCGGTCCGCGTGGACAGATCGACGGGTGCTGCTCTTGGCATGCTGTAATTGTCGTACCGTAACCAACGTTTGCGTCGGAGCGTCCGGTAGATTTTCAATCATTTCTATGTACATAACGATTGAACTATTGGATAGTTTTGGTCGCGGTCCGGTAGGTTTCGGTAGGTCAATGTTACTGCAGCACAGCCGTGTATGGAGTTCGTGCGTAGCTTTTGTATCATTGCCGTCAAGTATGGGCTGGTTCGATCGAATTGGACATTGTGTAGTATCTGTAGTTTATGATGAATATTTGATACGCCTACCGTTTATTCCATGCTATTTTTACAACGCTCCCCGATATTTTTCTACGGATAATATACACGAGGTTTTTTTAATGTCTATATACACGGAATTTTAAGCTTCTAGCAGCTCTGTGGGATCAATACCTTGATTTGTTCCAATTTTGATACACTCGCTTTTGCACGTGGATTGCACCGGAATACAACGGGCATTATAGTGCCGTAAAAGTCACTGCCTTACAAACGCACACTAACAAACGATACAATAAAAACGTTTCTCGTGATTACTTTATATAGAGATTTTTCAGAATCCAAACGTGAATTGTAACAGTGCCCTTATTAAAGATGTTTGTATAAAAAAATGTACCAATTAAAACAGTAGAAAAACTCCCCGTTTGCACGCCGCCTTTTATTGGGCCTTTATTAATATGGCGCTGTGTGGATGCGGTAGTTCGTTTGCATTTAAAAATTTAGCATTTTATACCTACCGATATTGTGATAGTTCAAATATACTACCGATTTGTAAATTTTTATTCACCCCCCCCGGAGACAACGTTATTCCCGGTCACTCTGGTTAATGTTTTTAGTTTGTCTATGATTGTTTATTGTCTATTTAGACAAACGTCAAACCTGCAAAATTTACAACATGACAATTTTGATAGTTATTTAGTTTTTTGGATTCCATAGATTAAGTTTGCGTAAGCCGTATCATATCGTTATTCTTTAATTATTATTTAATGTTGATTTGATCCTATGTCGAGTTTGTAATTTTATAATTTTTCAAATACGATTTTTGTACCATTGATGAAAGAAATCTCAATATTTTATTTGTAAATAATATTTTTACAGGATCTATTATTGATACAGTTTGGATGTCGTCACGCATAATGTAAATATTGTATTTTTTTATATTGATATGTATAACACTCAAGACACTTGGGTCTAGGCATGCAATAAAAGTTTAAGTACGTACTGATATGAATATCTTAATGTTTCTTTTATACGAGGATTAATTTAATTTAGGCAAAGGGAAAGTAATATATTACTCACAATATACCATTTGGGATAAAGCTGGGTACACACTGTGGCATGCGATATACTGTTTAATAGCTCACAACACAAGTGTTCTAAATTATTTCTACTACCGGAACCAAGATGATTATGTAATAATATAGGCCTCTTGTATTTGTTGCATGTGGACAGTGTGTACACAGCCTTATGTGCCTAATTAGGGGTGCTCGTTCGCACATTTGTCGATAATTTTGATCTATTTGTTAATTTGTTTATTTGAAATATAGGTACCAGCTAGTGAAAGTCTATTGAGTAGAGTTAAAGAGAAACACGCAACAGTATAACAGGGTTCAGAGAAATGCACAAATCTAATCTCAATATTCCTGCCAAATGTGATTCTGGCTCGGTTAAAACCTGTCTACTTTTGTAAAGTTATACTTTTGAAAGGTTATTAAACAATTCCCGCCAGTTATCGATATGACGAGATTTTTTGTGGGACATCACACGAGAGGAGTAAGACTTAAATATTAACTGATGTAACAACACGAGATGTGTTTTCAGACGTTAAAAATAAATCTAAACTATTATATATATGACATTCCAAATTTAAAATTTAAACCAATTTTCATTATGTGAACGTTTGCTTTATTGTGTTTAGTGATAAGTTTTAATTTTTGTTTATCTTTACCGTTAATCGTGGTGTCACCGCTCCACCAGTGTCATATCGATGATTTGCGGGTCTGTTCAAGTTTAGTAGAAGTTTATAGTTGGAGTTGCGCTGTAGTTATTTCGTATGGTGGGTGTAAGTGGAAGTTTTTTTAAGGTTTCTTTCGATATCGCGTGTACGCTAGCGGGTAGAAACAGTATTCGGTGATGCAATAAACAACATATATGATTGATTCCTGCGTTTCAATAACACCTCCTTCACGATTATATTAATTATATTATATTATATGGTCCAATAAAATGACTCGGGTGATCATTTTCATCAGAATTGGCAGCATCTCACGTGTCCAGCTAATTATATCAGTCTTTACGATACGATACGATATAAATATGGGGATTTGTTTGACGTGTCTTCATGTCAATTTTTGTTGAATCTTCTAATAACAACATGTACACTAAAGGAAGTCATTCCTTGAGGTTGTTGGCAACACTAAAATAAGTGTCATGCTGTGAGGTACCTATAAATGAAGCTGCAAGGAGCATTTCATGGTCTTCGTCTCCGTCTCACTCTGGCTGTCAACAAGAAGTATACGTGATAGTGCTGCCCGATCGTATCATAAATTAGGTCGTTAGAGTTGTGGTTCTTTAGTGATCTAAAAGTGATAAAATAAGTAATTATACCAGTGTTATTGTTGTGCAAAGTAAAACTACGGTTAGTTGGTAAAAGTATTTATATTTCTACCTTCTTAGCTCGATAAAACAAAGTAAAGCTAACAAACACTTGATTCGAAACAGTGAACACTATTTGTAATAAATGAACTGAAATGAGGTCAATGTTGACTTGTTAGTGAATAATACTTTGTTTCTTTAATTTTAAAAACTGTCAGTTCTTAAGATCGTAATACATATAAGTTATTGGATTAAGTTATCCACAATGTGTTGTTGTGTGTTTTGTGTTGTTGTATTTTCTTCTGATTGCTTTAGATTAAGGGAGCCTCAAAGTGATAAGATTTCAATCTACCCACAAAGACGTTAAGAAGTGCGTATAGACATAATTATTTGCTACCGCCGATTTGAGAAAAATTTTAGTGACGTGTAAGGTAGTAAAGTGGGCCCCGGCTACCTCAAGTACCAGACGAAGCGTACGAGTACAACACTTGTACTTAACGCCGGTGTTCTGTGAGTTCGTGGTACTTCCTCGGTAAGAAATGCCCATTAATAAGATTTACGAAGTTTTAAAACTATTAAAACATCGTTTGATATTGCACTTTAGATCAAGCCTGGTGCAACCACTGAGCTAGAAAGTATTTCAGAATCCTTACTAATATTATTAACACGAAAGTTTGTGTGTATGGATGGATGTTTGTTACTCTTCACGCAAATACTACTGAATGTATTTTAAAGAAACTTTACAATAATGTAGCTTATACATCAGAATAAGACTTAGGCTATGATTTATATACATATTTTATGTATATCCGTCTTTCTGTCCGAATGTTACGCCTTCAGCCTATTCTACGCAGACGTAGTCGGGGGCAGCAGCTAGGTCAAATATAAATGTCAAAGTAATCCGCATGGATGTTTACAGCAATCAGTTTAAGTGTTGCCAGTGTTGAAAATTGACCAAGCGAAAGTTTGCTTTCGGCAAACATAATAGCCTAAAGTGGTTGACTTTCCTACTACTCCTTATCATAGAGAAATTTTTGTTTTTGTTCACGTCCTAGTATTGAGGAATATTAAACTTGTCTCAACTGAAACAAGTAAAACTTTGTAATATCATATGAGGCAATCCGCCTGCCATTACTGAGAGGGGCACAATATGACTTGCTAATTGTAAAATCGGTCATTAAATCTTTAAAGTAAAGTAACAACATATACAAGTACCAATGGGGATTGGCAGACTTCACATATCTTCGAAATATATTTTTTTCTAATTATTTCCAAAATATGCAGGTTTCCTCACGGTGGTTTCCTTAACCGCGGAGCACGTGAGGATTCAGCACTTAAAATAAACAATTTCATTGGTACTGGATTGCGCTGAATTGGTACAGGGATTCGATCTTAGGTTGCTCTAGTATAATGAATCAAAAGGTCACTGAACTAGCACGCCTAATAAAATCTTTATTAATTAATAATTTTAACATTAACTATTTGAATACTATAACTAATTTTACATTCTTTGGTTAATTAACAAAATACTTTTATATGAATCAATCAGCTTAAAAGAGAAAAAATAAAATGATTAAAAACTTAATCGAAGGATACCTTTTTCCGCACGTAAAATGACACCATGGTGCGGACAAAATGGCATAGAAAATTTTTAGTGAAAACTGAGTCAAATACACGCATAGATAACATCTAAAACTTGTGTCTTTTTAGGAACGTCTGCACGCGATTCATCAGCCCATCCTTTACAGTTCAAGCACTATATATTTCTGGAAGTCTTCATCATGAACTCCAACTTTAGTGTGAGTGACTAAGGATGAGAAACAATTTTCCCCGAACTAATATCGAAACTTTTGGGTTTTGGAACTTCTCTCTATTTCTGGAACAGGTGGATGAGCGAATTTCTCATTAGCCTCTTCTATTTTGGGCGTTAAAGTTGCAAAAATATTGTTCGTTTCTTGTGTGTTTTGCTTTTGCTTTGTCTAGACATATACGTTCTTTTCGGCTCTGGGAATAGCGCGCTACCTATATATTTCCTTAGGCCAGCACTTGACTGCCATCCCACCTGATGGTAAGTGGCGATGCAGCGATTGATGGTAAACGCGCTAGATCAGTAAAAACCTATTCACTCTTGGCTTGAAGACGCCTACGTTGTAATCGGACGGAAAGACGGACGCCGGCAGGTTGTTCCATTCCTTAGCTGTACGGATGATAAAAGACGAAGCAAATCGCTTTGTTCTTGTTCTGGTAACGTCGACAGCATAAGGGTGGAGCCTCGCCTTGTTTCCGACGATGGAAAGAGGCAGGAGGAATCAAATAATGAAGGTGTTGTAAGTACTGCTGTACATGTGCCTCCAGATTTGGCTTACAAGTGTACATGGTTTGTCTACAGCTGATGTGCTTGCAACTACAATTGATGT